CTGATATGTCTTTGCCTCGGCGGAGGCATGGTTATAAGCCTGCGCCATCACCTCAGAGTAAGTCTTCCAAGTATTGGCATTGATCATGTATTTAAAGAAACAATCACGTAGGCCTGCCGTGAAGGCTTTGAGGGCAGTCTTGTCGTCTGCCTCGGCACACCGGGAGTATTCATGGCTGAAGCGGCCAACATACATACTTAATGACTCGTCTGGCTTCTGGCGGATAGTGTACAAGTCATCTGTAGAGTGCAAGCGATCGGTTTGGAAAATGTGTTGGGAAACAAATAGTTTCCTCAATTCCTCAAATGAGTCTATCGTCTCAGGTGTAAGACGACAATACCAATTTAGAGCTCCACTAGAGAGGGTGGAGGGGAAGAGAAGACATCGCTCTTCGTCGGTGTGCATCCGGTATGCCATGGTGGATTCAAAGAGGTTAAGGTGCTCAATCGGGTCCTCTTTTCCAGTAAAAGTTGCAAGCCAAGCTTTTGCTTTGTCTTTGCTTGAAGGGGGGTGTTGAGGATCCTCCTTGTAAGAGGGCCAGGCCTGGGTTGGTTCCAGTCAGGTATTTCAGCCTGACGTTCAGCCTTCAACTTGTTTACTTCCTCAAGAAGTTGTAGGACAAGGGGGTCCTGAGTGGAGTTATGTGTCACTGGAGCTTTCTTTCGTAAATCTCCATCTTCTATTGGAATTAGGAAGGTTTGATCAAGGGCATGTGATTTTTCCCTGGACTCGCTGTACTGGCTTCCAGGGTATGTCTGTCGGAACACCTCTGAGTCCCCTGTACCCTCATGTCTCTCTGGGACTTGTTGCCCCTTCCCCAAATTGGTGGCCGGCTTGGGCCGTGGCAGGGGACCGAGTCTCTCAGAAATCCTTGGGTCATTAATCTTTGAGCTTATATGGATGGAATTCTCTCGACGTTGCTTCAGGAAATCCCGACAATCGCGAAAGACGGCTTTCAATCTTTCTGCCCCTTCAGCAAAGAGGTGTCTCTCTCCACTTCTCATGGTTCGGGTCGAAGCAACTAGGTTAAGAGAAGCCTCATGTTGATTATCAAGTCGAGGGGTAATCTGTTCCCTATCAGGGATATCTATGTCGAATGCATGTGACCCTCCATGTTGGAGGGCACCCAGTTGATGGTTGACTTCCACGGGGGCAACAAGCTCGCGTGTCTGAGCTTGCCTAGCTTCGTGGAGTGTCTCGAAGAGCTTCTCATATTGCTCCTGGAGGACCTCATTCCTCATTGCTATCTTGTTGTTCTGAGCTTCCAACTCATCGACTTTAGCTTGAAGAAGAACTCGTTTTCCTTCCTTCTTTCGTTGTTTCGCACTATGTGCAAGGGGGGTGTCATTCTGTGTGCTGTGGCTTCCTTCGCTTCCCATGTTGGAGAGGGATGCTTGATCAAAAGAAAGTGTACGAATGATAGAAACCAGCTTGACACAGCTGAAGAGAGTAGGAATAAGTGTCGTTTCCCACAGACGGCGCCAAATGTTGATGCACAAAATCAGCGAAGACTTTGGTACAACAGAAAGTGTCAGGTTTTGTGACCTTCGCTTGGTTGCTTGGTTGCTTCAGTCACTAGTGAGGATAAGTACGTAAATGAATAGAGACAGAGAAGCAAACACAGGATGTACGTGGTTCACCCAGATTGGCTACGTCCACGGAGTAGAGGAGTTCTTATTAGTAGTGAAGGGCTTACACAAGTACAAAGGATCAAGCTCTCAATTTAGTGAGTTCTTGTGAATGATTTAACACAAAATGGCATTAGGCAATATTGTGGGGGAATGACCCCTATTTATAGAAAAACTTGTAGCTTTGTCACATTGACATGTGTCATGTTATGATTGGTTCTTGATGTTGACACGTGCTGCGCTCTGATTGGCTTCTAATCTTGACACGTGTCGAGTAGTGATTGGCCTCCTGGTCGGAGGGGAACTCTTCTGGGTCCTTGACAGTATAGCGTTGGCCGGTGCTCGGTAGTTTCGGGATTGGTCAAGTATGGTACAAACAGAATTAATATGTTTATCAACAATGGCTATTCACTGTCATTCATATAAAAGCCATGGCTATTCACTATCATCACAAAGACAAAATATGGACCACGTTTGACTAAATGTATACAAATAACTCTAGCAACATTGTACTAAATATAATGAGAAACAATTTCACATTATGAGACAATATAAATGTCGATTCCCCATCATCAACATTACATTAATGCATTCACTAACTTTAAAGAGCAACAATTGCAACATGATAAATGGGTAATTTTCAAATAAGACTATACATACATAGTGTCAACCGTCATCATGGTTGTCTACTAGCCTGGGATGTTAGGTAACAACTGAGAAAAGACACACCAAAGCAATAGAGTTATAGGTGTTCATCAAACAAAACCAAAGAGACTATCTCCCAATAGTAAGAGCCACATATAGTATGATGTAATGATCATCATATTTTCAATATTAACTAAATGAGCTCAAATTTAAGTGGTAGCTAGAGCAATAAGGAAAATACTTTTCACAACTAGGCCGACGATAAATTCTAATCGGAAACCGTCCAAATTCACCGGAGAAAATCGAATTTCTAGGGTTCTAAACACCCAACTCTAAAATGAATACGAAAACACGAACCAAGCATACCACCTTGAAGATTATGAAGAGTAAATGAAGTTTCATACCTCGTTCGAAGGAAATGGTTGCCAGAATCACCGGAAAAATGATAAACCGCCAGAAAAGTCGTGGTTTGTGGCTTCGAACTGCAAATATGGAAAATAAAATGGGAAATCTATCACTACAGAGTTGTAGGGCTCGTCAAGAGCTTTCCATGGATACCAAGATCACTCAAAACGGAGCTTGAATGGAGGAGATACAAGCGGATCAAGTTTGTGGGTTAACGGGTCCAATTCACCCCCAAAACGGGTTAGAATAAGACCCTCTCCTTTTCTCCCTTTTTTTTTTTTTTTTATCAGAAACCTTCCCCTTTTTAAACTAACTTAACATTTAACCCACATGTAGGAATTAAATAATTCCCACAATCTATAGTTCACAACTTCAAACGTCCGTAACTATACCGTTATAACTCAGACTCGCAAACGGCTTTTGCCTATGCATTCGTGGGTTCGAGATCTATTTAAAAACACTAGTTAAAACTTCAAAAAGTCAACGAAAGATAAAGATTGATTACGAAAATTCAAACCCAATAAACGGAATTGAAATTAAGTAATAAAAATGACGTAAACGTGAAATACGAACTTAAATTACGAGATACATACTTAATAGTGAAATTTCAGGGACGGGATTTCACATAAGAGATCAATGGTCACAAATTTTTAGTTGAGATACCATAACTTCATTAGGTTAAAGTTAATAACCATTGCTATAATTTTTTCCTCATAATTTTTTATAAAACTTTTATACAATTGTATGAGAGCGGGAGATTTCATTAAGTTACACAATATACTAGCCATAATTTAATATCAAACTCTCCATTTAAAAAGGTCAAATCAAAAAAAAAGAAAAAGAAAAGAGGTCAAATCAAAAGCATCCCAGGTGAAGAGAATGCTACTAAATTGTAGTGATTATGAAAAGAAAAATGTTTTGTTTTTTGGTACTACAGTTTTTTGTATTCATTTTCATTTGAAAGTGAAAGGGCTTAGTTTGAATATCGTAAATAGCGAATTCGATACTAAATTAGGTTGTTCATTGTGTGCCTTCGCCGAACTTTTCCTCTTCTAGTGTAAAAATATCGATGAATTAAAAAAATAGAAAAACATTTAAAATAAATTGAAAGAAATAACGTTTTCTTTTGGAGAAAAATAATATTTATTATTTAGTTAAAATAAATTAAGAGGTATTCATCAATTCCCCCCCTAAACTTGTGAACATTGGCCAATTTCCCCCCTCAACTTTAATTTTGGCCAATTTCCCCCCTTAACTCTCATAATTAGTCAATTTCCCCCTTAACTTTAATTTGGCCAATTTCCCCCCTCAACTCTCATAATTAGTCAATTTGCCCCCTTCTGTTAAATTTTTTTAATTTTCCATCTATTCTTTTTTTTTTTCTTTCAATCTTTCTAATAACTTCCAACAAAGTACTAAAATTAACATAAACTCACCTGCATAATATAGGGTAAAATGTACAAAAACATAATACAATTAGTATGTGATATGGGTTGATTATAAGAAAAGTTATGAATCGGGTTTAAAGCATGTAGAAGAAGAAATAATAATCCTAAACTCATGGATCAGACCTATTTCAATAAAATGGGTTATTCTTAATAAGGAGTCGAAAATTATGAATTGACTAGCCATTTTTGCACTAAAGCTCGATTCTCCGCAATTTACTTGAACTTAGCTTTCACTTTTATAAAGAAAATTGTATTCACATACAAAAATGTACACATCAATCATTTTTTTATCAATTTTGTATAGTAAAAAATCAAATAAAATTACTCCATACTGATTTATTATGACTAATAATACTATCTATGATAAATTGTAAAATTCTAAATTTTAATCTATTTGTAATAGGATAAAGACATAGGAAAATGATTAACATACATCTTATTTAGTTTCTTACACACACTTGTTTAATTATGATCAAATTAAAAAATTAATAGTAGGGTACAAATTGACAAATTATGAGAGTTGAGGGGGGAAATTGGCCAAATTAAAGTTGAGGGGGGAAATTGACTAATTATGAGAGTTAAGGGGGGAAATTGGCCAAAATTAAAGTTGAGGGGGGAAATTGGCCAATAGTCACAAATTCAGAGAGGAAATTGATGAATACCTCATAAATTAAAAGTTGGGTGCAAAATTATGAACTGGTGGGCGTCTGTGCCTCGGTGCTCTGGGTCTCATCACTCCAAGAGGCAAGAGCCACAGCAAATCGCGGTCAATCGAACCATGAACAACGGCGAACAAAGGCGCCTAAACGGAGGGAGGGAGGGAGGGAGGGAGGGAGGGAGAGAGAGAGGGAGAGAGAGAGAGAGAGAGAGAGCTTTTAGCTTATTTCTACTCTCTTTTGTTTTTGGTTTGATCTGCTACAATTTGATTTTTTCTGGAACCTTTGTTTAGTAAAGTTTGAAGCTTTAAATTTGTTTCAAGTACATTGACAATATTTTGTACTGCGATTTTCGGTTCGACTAGTGCTTAGAGCAGAGAAGGCATATGCAACATAGAATAACATTAGCTTGGGCAGCCAAGGAGTTTGGTTTACATCATCTTCTGTCAATGATGAAAATGTTAAAGTAAGATGCATGGATGCAAGAGTTTTTCTTTTTTGACAGTACTTGTGATATGTATGTACTTAAAGTGTGATGTTAAGTTGTGAAGGCAGCTGCGGAAATGGATTTTCGACCAAGCAGAACGGGGGGTAGTTGCAAAACATGTTGAGGCCTTCATAAGAGAGTTTTTCTACCAGAATCCGTTTAGTCAAGTTGGCCTGGTGACTGTAAAAGATGGTGTTGCTCATTGTTTAACGGATCTTGGTGGCAGCCCCCAGTCTCATGTTAAAGCGTTGATGGGTAAACTGGAATGCTCTGGTGACTCGTCCCTGCAGAATGCATTGGATCTTGTACATGGGTATCTGAATCAGATTCCATCGTATGGTCATAGAGAAATGCTGATCTTATATTCAGCTCTCAGTACCTGTGATCCAGGAGATATACTGGAAACTATCCAGAAGTGTAAGAAATCAAAAATTAGGTGCTCAGTCATTGGTCTCTCGGCAGAAAATTCCATATGCAAGAATCTATGCCAAGAAACCGGTGGCTTATACTATATTCCTTTGGATGAGGTGAGTTCATCTAGGTAACCCTAAACCTGAATTTTGGGTTTATAATGCATTTGAGCACGAGAAAGTAGTCTTGTTTTTCACGATTTAAGATTTTCATCCACGGTTATTATTACTATTAAGTTTTAACCTACAAAGTTTGTTTTTAGAACATTGATTTTGATATGTTTTCTGCTTTGTGTAGCCGCACTTAAAAGAGTTAATATTGGAACATGCGCCTCCTCCTCCTACAATAGTATTGAATTTTGTGAATGGTATATTCATCATGAGACAATCAGGTACAAGAGATAGCAAATATATGTGCTAGAGGGAAGAAAATAAGACTACCTATCCCTCCTTGATTGACGTCTAAAGCTAACAAAAAAAGAACAAATAAGACACATCCCTTGAATTAAGGGAATTGACAACAAGACAAATAAGACACATCCCTTGAATTAAGGGAATTGACAACACTATCTATCACCCTAAAATCCTTTGTGCAGTGAACATGCAACCTAACCTAACCCTAGTTGCCATTCTTTCTTCCAATAAATAGCAGAATTTGCAATTGCTAATTTGATAAAGATAGGGTTCCCACAAAGAGCGGCAGAGGGCTCTGTGGCCATCTGTTCATGTCACAAGGAGGCAAAGGTAGGAGCTGGATACACTTGTCCTAGGTGCAAGGCTCGCGTATGTGAGCTACCTACGGAATGTCGCATTTGTGGGTTGACACTCATTTCATCCCCTCATTTGGCAAGGTCTTATCATCATCTCTTTCCCATTGTACCTTTTTACGAGATGTACCTCTCACTACTAATTGATCAACAAAACAAGTTTCCTAGATCTTGTTTCGGCTGCCAACAAAGTCTTCTCAATCCCGGTAAGTGTTTCTGTACATGAAATATATATTTTGGAGCTTTTGCAATAAAATTGATAGAAAGACTACGTTCACAATGTAACAGCTTTAGCTATAGTTGTAATAAGATTGGACATATTTGGCTTCAACGTATTTTCCTTCAGGGATGATATCTACAAACCAGGAAATATTCTTGATATGAATTGCATGGTTCAATTCTATTAAACGTTGGCCTTATGGTCTGACAGAAGTTATGCAGGTCTGATAAGGAAGCTGGGGAGTGTAGTGTTTCTTTGTTTTAATGCAACGTTTTAGCAGACGCTCCCTTAGGAAGCAGCAGTTTGAAGCTGCTTTTTTACTTTAAAAATAATATGCTTAAAGAGACAATGAGTCCAAATAGGAAAAGCTCCAAAAAATTAGGTAATATAAGAGGGGAGAGGGAAAATTAGAAGAACCCGGAAATATCACTTGTTCAAATCACAGGGAAAACCTTCCCTCTCAAATGTATATTTAAGTTATTCATTGATGTCATATAAAAACCTTGCTTGTGTAGGCAGCATCGCCTCCCTATCTTATATTTGTTTTCACTGTTTATGACACAGGAAACAAGCCCGGTCTTCGGGTCGCTTGCCCAAAATGCAAACAACACTTCTGCCTTGAATGCGACATGTATATTCATGAAAGCTTGCATAACTGCCCTGGTTGTGAGAGCACTAGGCACTCCAAGATCCCGAATATAAACGAAGGATGAAGTGCAGCTGATTTTAATATGATGCTGCCTCCAAATCTGCGGTGGTCTCTCACGACTCTCACCCAAATGTATGACCTGGCTACTGTCACAGGTACTTGTTTTTGGAACAATCATCTACACTACAGCTACCGTGGTGGCTTTTGGAAGTCTGGGATGCCTTCATCAAACGTTGCAATAGAAAAAACAATAGTGTTTGCAGTACAACCATGAATCTGAGTTTTGAAATTTATTGCCATCTCGATAGTTTAAGAAACAGAGGAATTTCTTCATTATTCCCCTTGTTTCGGGTTGGAGAGTTGTTAGTGCTAACTTCATAGAGAGGTATGTAATTGGATAGACCTGTCCTATTAAGTTAAACAGAGCCATAAATATGTCTACGAATTTCATCATCATTGAAGAGTAACATAAAATTTGCTCTATCACTTAAGTTAAACAGTCCCATGCATATTCAACCTTTTCAGCTTTGCACAAACCTTCAATAAGAATATTGTAAATTACAATACCAAAATCCAACTTCTTTCCCTCCATCTCTTCCAACAATTCAACTGCCTTGGAAAATTGTTGGTTTGCACACATGCCATGCAATAAAATAGAATAAGTTTGAATGTCTGGAAGTTGGCCACAAGCTTGCATTTTATAGAACAAGTTTTGTGCATCTTGTGTTCTCCCCATCTTGCAAAACCCATCAATAAGAGTACTATTAGTAACTGTATCCGGAACAACCCCCTTATAAGACATTTCCAAAATAATCATCTGAGCATCATCTATCCTTTGACGCTTACAATAGCCGTTTATCAATACGTAATAGCTACAATCACCAACGATGCTGCCCTTGCTAAGCATTACTTCAAAAACCCTTTTAGCCTCGTCCATTTCTCCTCGCAAACAGTAACCATCTATAAGTGAAGTGTACGTAATTGTATTGGGTGCTATATTCCCTTGCGTCATCATTTCAACCACGCTCCTTGCTTCCTGGACCATCCCCTCTTTACAATATGTATCAACCAAAACACTGAAGGTGCACACATCTGGAAAGATATGTTTACTCACCATTTCATTCAACAATCTTGTAGCTTCTTTCCAATTCCCTAATTTGCAAACTCTTTGATTAGGTCAAGACATCTGGGGCAATACCCTTACTCGTCATTTCTGAGAAGAGCTTCAATGCATCAACAACTAGAGTAACCTTGCAAAGACTGTCAATGACCGTGCTATAGGCAACTACGTCAGGCTTGCAATCTCCTTCTTCTATCTTCTTAAGCAATTGGATAGCTCCAATGTTGTTACCTTTCAAGATGTTTGCACCATACTTGACCAATCATGAAACTACTGAGCACCGGTCAACGTTATACTATCAAAGACCCAGAAGAGTTTCCCTCTAACCAGGAGGCCAATCACTGCGCAACACGTGTCAACGTCAGAAGCAAATCATAGCGCGACATGTGTCAACATCAGAAGCTAATCACAACACGACACGTGTCAATGTCAGAATGAAACTAAAAACTCTCTTCTATAAATAGATATCATTCTTTCACAATATTTTCTAATGTCATTTGTACTAAATAATTCACTAGTACTCACTAAAGGAGAGCTTGAACCTATGTACTTGTGTAAACCCTTCACAATTAATGAGAACTCCTCTACTCCGTGGACGTAGCCAATCTGGGTGAACCACATACATCTTGTGTTTGCTTCCCTGTCCCTATCCATTTACATACTTATTCATACTAGTGACCGAAACAATCTAGTGAAGGTCAAAAACTTAACATTTCTGTTGTACCAAAGTCCTCACTGATTTTGTGCATCAACACAAGCAATGGCCCTTAAGTAGTGTGTTGAAAGTAAACAGATTCGGCTTGCAATCACCTCCCCCCATTTGTTGAAAAGTGCTGCTGCCTCAGCCTCTTTATCCTCAAGAAGAAAGTTGTTGATTAGAGTGTTGAAGGTTGTGACATCAGGTTCAAAACCCAATTTGAAGAATTCTCCCAATATAGACAAGCTAAACCCCATTTGGTGCATATGGCAAAAGTAATGAATGATAATGTTTAGAGTATAAACATTGGGACGAATTCCTGACACAACATTCATCCTAACACAACCATTTGGTTATTCAAGGAGATGACTGTCGAGTAATGCTTCAACTTGGCAAGCTGACCCAAAATTTTGAGTGAAAAGGACAACGGAAGGCAGATGACGCCTTTGAAGCATTCGTCGAACACACTGAGAGCATCCTCCACATTAGTGATTTTCACAAGCTGGTGTTGTTAGGTGCTTCTAGATTCAGTCAATTTAGAAGCTCGAAAGTGAAACAAAGCCAAGTAATTGTTGAAGAAAACAACAACAGAAGAAGATTGAACAAGACAAGGCAGCATAACTCTGGGTCTGAGTGTGCCGGTGGTGCTGCTGCTGCCATAACCAACCTTCAAAGAAGAAGAAGAAGAAGCAGCAATCGTTGCCTGCATCATCTTCTGCATCTCTGAGGCAGAGAGTTGAGATTCACAGAAAACAAAGAGTTGTTGTAGGGCTGTGTTTGTGAGAGTTGAAGAGCATGTATTTCATGTTTTGTTCTAGTCGGGACCCTTTGCTTTCGGTTTCCATATCAGGTTTTATTTTAGATTACACAAAAGGATTTATTTATTTTTTAATTGAATTTAGCATTTCAATTCCATTAAGCCGCTCAGGGAACAAAACTCCAATGAGCTAAAATTGAGACCGAAGGAGGAAGGTGGTTTGGGCTACCGTGAACTTTACGTATGTAGGAGGGTGCAGTCGAATTAGAATTTGATAGGATTTTAATGTACTTTAAAATTTAAGGGTAGTTAATTAGGATTTTAAATGATTTTAAAATCATGGTGTAGTCAAATTAAGATTTGAGAGGATTTTAAAAATACATTCAAATTCAAGAGTAGTCGATTAAGATTTAAAAAATGTCCACACATGTCTACATGTAGTAAAAATACTAATATACCCTGAAAATAACGTTTCCAGAAGATCCAAAAAGACAGTAGGTGCTTCAAACTCAAAACCAAGTTCATACTAGTCTCCAAGTTCCAGTCTCATCAAACCCAACAAATTTTGGTTATTTATCCAAATTTCTCAAAAATTCTCTGGTCTCTCAGAAGACGAATAGTCTTCCTCCATTTTTTCCACTACTTGAGACCCGATGGTTCAATATGTATTGTTGTTGTTGGGAAGTGAAGCTTGCCAGAAATTAATGAAATGTGGTTTCTAATGTTATGCGTGGTGGGTACTGGAAGGGCAGGAAGCCAGAATGTGCATTGAAGTTTAGGAAAATGCTTGCGGCTTGTGGTCAGTCTGCTAGACTGAATGAAGGTTAGGCAGGGGAGACCCATAACTGAACACACAATGGAATATTAGAGTTGTTTGAGTCACAGCTGCATGATTTCAATAAAAATG